ACACCCTCTGACGAAATGAGGTTGAAGTGTGCTCCTCTTTTTTTTCCGTGCACCTGCCACTGGCCCAGCAGTTTTAAACGCTGTGCCCGCCGCTCGGGAATAGCAATAAAAGTTTATGTGCACTTATTATGCGCCCAACCGCCCAAAACATTGCACCTCCGAGAACTGTCATTAGTAAGTAGTGCATAATTTTCGGGACAGCCGGCAATCTGTGCACGGGCGTCCATAATTATCACCCCGGCAAGTGAATGGGCGATAATGGCTTGATTTTCAGCTTGGCAAAAGAAGGTAAATGGGTATTAATTATTATGATTATGGCCAGTCGGAAGACACTCGATTCGGGCATTGTCATGGCAGAAATGCTGCTCCAGTTCGCCCTTTCTTATTTGGGCAGCGGCTCGTTCAAGCGGAATTTGGCAAATGCCGAAAGCTTCAGGGGTATTACATAAATGTTGGCCCTGGCCATGTCTTCTAAGCATATTTTGAATGCCAAGCAAATCCTCATCGCGCCACTCCACATTTGCCCCATGTTTTAGCCATGAAAGTCACTTCCAAAGTTCAAGTCAATGTCGCAAAATGTTAACGGCGCGTTAATAATGCGATTAGTGGATGCTGCAGACCCATTCCGATCCAACGATCCAACGACCCGACTACCCAGCTCCTGGGCTCCAAGCAGCCAAGCAGCCAAGCAGCCAAACATCCAAACATCCAATTCAAAGCCAAGAACCAGCATGTATTCCCTCCGGAGGAAGGAAAACACATTTGAATGCGACCGCCCCATCTGAAGTAACATGGCAAAATTGGCTTTAATTGGTAAAATAAGTGGTGGGAGTTTGGGCCACAGAACACGAGTTCCCCGCTTCCTCAGCTCCAGTGCTAATTAATAAATTTCTTGGGGATTTCTCGCTGCGTCCTTTTCGGGATACGCCTGCCATAATTATCGCATAGCAATCGCCCAGGGACGCAGCCTGCAAATGTGTATTCTGTGTATGCTAATATACGAATTTATATGGGATGGAGGCACGGATATTTGCATAGGGAAGCTCCTATATGATCCGGCAAAATCCCCGCTAAGTGAAGCCTTCAATTACAGTCGTCGGTGTGGCGCTGTCGGCGCCAATCCCCTGGTAATAGGATATTTTCAATTTCCATTTGCCCGCTCGTATATTTTGCAGTTTCGTATTTGTTTTAAGTTATGCGTCCAAGTCTCTCCAGGGGAATCGTTCACTTCCCTTTTATTTCGCCTCCTCGAAACATCCCCCCATCCAAACATATTTCATTGATACGCCGTTTCAGTGGAGCTGCCGGCGGAAACATGACGGGGTACATATATTCAGTAGGATATACATCTGGGCCTAGCTGGAATATTGTCAAGCCGGCGAGAAGAGCAGAGCTGCCACGGGTCGTCCTGGTCACGTAATTGAGCCCTACACCACGGGGTCCACGGGTCCACCACCGGCCAGCGCCGAGTAGGGCGGAGTTGAGTCGATTTCTGGGCAATAGAAAATGAATTGTATGCACGGAAATATGACAAACAATCAAAACGAATTCGGAAAAACCGCAGCACAAACCAACAAATGCGCCAGCTGAGCCAGAGATTTGTTTCCCCAGTAACCAGGAGCCAGTAACCAGTAACCAGAAACCGAAGGGATGGACCTAGATGGCTTTGAATGGCCTGGATGGCCTGGATGGGATGGCACCACTGCGAGTTAATGGAAATGGAGGCGCGGTCGGCGAGAGGCTGGAAAAATCCTGGACGCCTGGCACAAACGACAGCGACTACGGCGTCTGATGGAAATTTATTGCTGGCAACATACCCAAAGGGATTCACAAATATAATACTATAGTCGGTGCGCTGGAGCAGTAGCAACAATCCACTGAGAAAATTGCTATAAGACAAATTGTTGTAAACTTGCTGCGCAACTGATAACTGATATGTTATGATTTTATAGTCTTCTTTATATTCCCTTGAAAAGAAAGGAGAATGGTGCCCAATTGACCACGCTTTTCGCTCAGTGCTGGATCAGTAAATGGAGGCGAGGACTGCATACAAACACGTACTCCATGTCAGGACGTTTGCCAGCCCCGAGTCTGATCCCTCCCAGCTTCGAGCCACCGTTGAGCTAACATGGCTCTGAGTCTGCGGAGTGGAGAGCCAGCGAATTGGCGGGCGGGAAAAACTAACCCTATGAACAATTTCCCAAAAGCATCTGCAAAAACATACAAAATGCGGTTTTAGCCGCTGAGAGGAAATCTGTATAGGGAGCGGGCACGAAAAATCTGTTGAAAAAATATATGACAGCTAGAACATGTTGCCAGCATTTCACCGCCCCGCGTCCTTGCCCCACCCACCACCATCCGCCAAACAAAGCTGCTGTGTTGAGCCAAAAGTGAGCTGCAAGCACGCACTGTGCATATTTTGTTATGAAAATTTAAGTGAAATCACTAAAAATGCCAAACAAAACAGCAAGCTATGCAAAAATGCAGCGCTAGTGGGTGTGGCAGTGGGCGGTGGGCGGTGGGCGGTGGTCGGTGGTCGGTGGGTGGAAAAGCCCTCGAGGCGGAAAACAGCTGTTGTTTGTGTTTGCTGCTGCTGCTGCTGATGCTCGTCTGCCGCTCCTGCAGTCTTATGAAAAATTGTTGTCAGTTTATAAAATGGTAGCTAGATGCGAGACACTGCGCATCCTTCAAGTGTATCACGTGCACCAGATTCTCAAACAGGCAACTGATGCCAGCAAATGGGGGTCTGGATGGCCCATGGCTCATGAAAATGGGTCAGAGCTGAAAGTTGGTCCGCCGGACGGAGCTGGATCGCTTTTCGCTTGCAGTTTATGGCTCGTGTTACTCAATAAACATTTGTCAAGGCGATGCAACCTTCGCACCCAGCCAACCAGCCACCCACACACAGACTGTCCCACCAATTTGCTGCTATCGGAGCCAGCAGCTTCCCATTTTCCTTTCGCTTTTCCTTTGCCAACTCGCTCCCCTTTTACAGCGTTCCAGTGTCAATTGTAACGTTTTATTGCCTCTTGCTTCGCATTGAGTACACGGCGGGAAAAAGGGGGCTGCCATGCAACGTTGGGCCAAGAAATAGGGGACTATCTTTATTGCTAGTCAGCGGAATAGCTTAATGTAATGAATTATAACTTAATTTAATTCCATTTGGCTGGCATCTAGTTGCTTATTGTTTTAATTATGAGTTTGGCCAGCAATGCACTTTGTAAATTACGAAATGCTCGGTATTTATTACTTCTGCTGAATTCCCTACATTTACTACACACTTTGATGGCAAACCGAACCCAGATTCCTCCGCCTGTACAAGCACATACATAAAGACTGGCCAAAGGTAACTGGCGCACAAGGAAATTTATGATCAGTGACAAAAGCACATTCTCACCTTTGATATAGCTTTACTGCCTGAGCCCCTTTTTCCACTCTATATGGCCGATGTAGCTGGGATAAGAACAGCTCTGTCTTTGGTTTGTTCTGTTTTATTGTGCCCGCCCTTTTGTGGCTCTGTGGGTGGGTGGGCCATGTCCGCCCAAAGCCACCTAGCCCGCTCTAAGGGCCGCCCACCTTGGAAAAGTCCGAAAGCAGTGCCACGCATCGATGGCTCTTTTATGCGCTCCGCAGTTTTTCGTTTTCCGTTGATTTTGCCTCATTTTTTTGCGACCCTCTGCCGCTTTTTTGCACAGTGTTTGCCTTCGGATTTTTGCGATAATGGAGACAAATGTTGTGCTCTTAAATTTATCGATTGGTTGGCAAAGTTACCAAAGGAAAATATAGCCCTGGCTGGCGAATTTGTTTTTATGGGCGCGCCCGCTTGTTTGTTCACTCGTTGCGTTGCGTATACGCCCCGTGTTCGCCATTTGTGCCATTTTTGCCGTTTTCGCTTAGCCTTTAAGTTGGCTGGCGGCGCACCTGAGTTTTCAATTTATATGATGTTTTCCAAGGCCTAGTGGAAGCTAAGCACAGTGCCAGACAATGGACTTTGAGTCGCAGCTAATCTTGTGCCGAGATAAGCCAACTATTTGTGCAGCCACTTTCCCCTTTGATTTTTTTTTTGTTTTCGGTGGAAAGCGTGGGGCAGGGAAACTCTGCAATCGAAAGTTCGGCGCTTAAATTCACAGAGAGAGGCAACTGCTTAAGTTTCCGCCGCCATAACGAGTTATTAATTGTGGCCGGGGTTTTGGGGCTTAGTGGGGGCGTTGGCTGGCCAGCCGGCCAGCTGACCGCTCCGCAAATGACCTCGGCATGCCGGCATTCCTATCTCGCGGTAAGCTTTTACCATATTCCTTTCGCGCGCTCCTCGCGCCAGCGGGCTCGGCATTAAACACCACAACGTGCTCGAGGACCTCGGCGCCTGGATTTATGCAGCGTTACATTGGCATTAAAATAGCAAAAAGGGATTACGGGAGAGCACTGCGGGCAGCTCTCGTATTTTATTATATTTTTACATTATTCTTTTCCTTTTTTTCTATGCCCGCCAGCGCTTTTGGCCCCACGCGCTTATTGCCCCCGCGTCGCACTCTCTATTATGTAAAAACATAAATGCAACTTGCGTTGAGTGCTGTGCGAAATAAAATGCGATGACTGCGAAGCGATGCAGAAAAAGCAGAAAAAGCTGCACGGGAAAATATACTCGTGCACAAGTTGCTTTGGATTTGCCCCGGAATGTGGCAAACAAGCAGATTACATTTTTAAATTTCAATTGCAATGCTTGTTGTAAAGAGCGAAATCATACACATTTTGTATGGACATTTTCCCATAAAAGCACTGCCAGGCTTAAACATCTCCAATGACAAATGGATAACTACAATATTTCAGCAGTATTTCAGTAACTGCCACTTTTCTTTCAGTGCGCTGGAAAGCGCTGCGCTCAGCTATCCCATTCCACATCGCCATTGTTCAGATGTGACTCGAACCAGGGGAGCGCACTCCACATATATGAGGTATAGAATGCAACTAGGATACTGGGGGGCGGGACACGAATCACTTACCTCGATTTGAAATGGCGGCCTCGACGGCGAACCCGCCGCTTCCGGCGTGCGCGTGCAGCAGCCATCCGAGGCTAATTACAATCAGAATGGGGCAATTCATTTGGAGCGGAGCGCGGTGGCGTCGCTGGCTGCTTTTCCTGATGCGGCTGCCGCTGGCGGGGGCGGTGGCGGTGGCAGCGGTGGGCGGGGCCAAGGCGCCGCTACGTATGCTACGCGAAATTATTTTCATTGTTTCGCGCTCGGCGCGTATGATGTGGAGTTTTTAGGTTCCGGAGCTCTCCTCTATTTTTGCCGGCTTTGTTATTAAATTTACTGCAGCTGTCGAGTTGCAAAGTGCTGTTTCGGTTTTTATTGTTTTTTTTAATTTTTTACCTTTGCCGTTTTAAGTTTTCATTCGGTTAAGCGCCAACATACTTTGCATAGTCGCTTTGCCACTTTGTTTAATTTCCAGCTGTGCAGTTTTTTCCAGCTTTCTAATTAGAAATCGAGCGAAGGACCGCAAGTTCCAAATGTTTCCCTTGACAAATTGCGGCTTTGTTGCGCGAAATATTTTCTAATTAATTTCAATTGCACAGCGATTCGTTGTTGGACCGAACAAACTAATTATCACTGTTTGCCTGCCGCTTGTCCAAGTGAAAATTTATATTTGCCGTATATCTGCAACGGAAATGTGGAAAAACAAATAAATAATTATATTTTTCGGTTGCAACATGGCGCATGCAGAGGTAAAAGTTTCTCCCCCGCTGCCAAAACCAGCAAATAAAAACCACTCCACTTGGCATTTTGCGATCTTTAAGCTAAACTCCGATTCCACTTTGGGCCACAAAACTCTCAAGTGCAGTGCTCAGGAATGTTTTTGGTGCTCAAAGCGAACATTAAAGCACAGGATGTGTGCGTGTGTGTGTGTGTGTGTGGCACTCGCATGCGCTCCATGAACCCACACACTCGCACACACTCGCACACACATGCGCCGAAATGCGTCTGCGAAACTTCACTGACACGCAAAATTACCCCACAAAGTGCAATTAGCACACAAGTTAAATTATAAAAGTTCCGTTTTTTAACCTTTTCCCTCAGCGTTGATCCTTCGCCCACGCACACATGCACACATGGAAATTTTTGGACAAAAGGAAGGGAGAACGGCGAATGGCCGGGTAAACAACACTTCAAGAGAAAAGTCCAAAGCCAAATAACAAATTGTTCCTAGGGCGGTGCAACCCCCCGCCAACCCCTTGTGCCATATTTAATGACAAAGTTTTGCATAATTTCATGAGTTTGCTGCGTTATCCTGGCCACATGAGCTCGGGTAAGCCAAAGAAAAATCAGCAAACTGAAAAGTTCAAATTATTTCATTATCGCTTCCGTGCAGGGCAAACTACTGCCAAAAAAAAAATCAGAGCAGAACAGAACAGAGGCGGAAATGTGCTCGAAAAACCCATAAAACCAAACTGCGGCCCGGCAGCAGGATGTCGTGGTCAGTGGAATGGGTCGCGATTGTTGGGTAAAAAAATGAAGTTATAAATTTAGATTAACCCCATGCAGCCGATGGCGGCGACTCACTTTCGCTCTCACTTGGGCAACGCGGCCGGAAAAGTCCATTAAAAGTCAGGGGGCAGAGGGCAGAGGGCAGAGCGAGAAATGGAAAGCCGGTAGCCATAATTATCTATCGCTTTCATTATTACCCTGGGCATCCAGTGGCGCCAGATATCAAGTATACGCTACGTGGCGCGCTTATGTGCCGCTCATGTCCTGGAGGAGCAATAAAATATTTGTATCTGTGCCCGCTTCCAAGGCTTTAAGTAGGTCGCGTAGGCGGCGGCGCTACAAATCTGCACCGGGCATATAATTACTCAAAAAGTTACCTCGCTCGCCGGAGATTCCTGGTATAGGACATAGGATAGCCGGGATGGCTCCGGTTTTTATGCGCGCTGATGCCGGCAAAAGGCTTTTATCATGTAGGCGGTAAATAGCCGTAAATAAACAGGACGGGCATAAAACGGCAACAAAAGACGCGCCCAGGTTGCCGCCGTTGTCATCGCCACCAAAGGAGCGCATTAAGCGGAGCACTCTTAGAAAATCCAGTTCAATCCACAACGAATTGTAAGGATGACAGAACAACATTTAGATCCATAAGCATGTTATTAAATTTTAAATCTGTTTACCGATTGCCCTTATAATGAGTGGATTACTACCGCTGAAGTTGTTGAAAGTGTAGTGTAACTGCTATTCGGTCCATTCGACTACTCCACTCATTTTCTCCGTGTGCATCTCCTGTTGTCACCCACCGTTGTTGGAGGACCAGGGTTATCGGTTTTATGGGCTTTGGCCTACAGATTTTTATACGTGTGCCACATGCTGTGCACTGCTGCCTTTATTTATGAGGCAGGCAGCCATCCCAGCATCGCTACAAATTTCTGAAGTCCTGCAATTTGATCTCCGTGTTTCGGTTGGACACAGAGCTCTGGCTAAATGTTTTAACAATGTTTTTATCGGGCTCTCTTGTCGAGCCTTTGACGCTGCGGTGACTGCGGTCGCCTGTTGGCCAAAACCGGAGCCATGACCATAAAAGTTTAATATTCTAATAAAGCGGATTTAATTATTTAAAAACAACATTGCCACGTCCGAACGCCGGAGGTTTTTAATTTTTACGCGCTCTGTTTCGCTGTCGCAAGGCAACTTGAGTCGACTTTCGACTAAATTGCACTTTGCGGTACAATTTCCAGCTGCAAGTTTGCCAGAGCAAGTCGTAATTAGTTTTTGCTGGTTTGCTGTGAAACTGATTTTCGCTTGACGGGCGGCAAAACGGGGTGGCCGTTGGAGGAACTGAATCCGAGGGCAAAGAAATAGCTGCGTCTTTTGTCAGCCGGGGCTTGCTCCTCCTCTCCTGCGACCCTGTGGTTGACTGGCGGAACTTTAAAATGGGTTAATTGCATTGTAAACTAAACGAACAAATGGCAAACAAGTGGCACAAGAGGGCAACAAGACAGCAAAAGCGGCAAAAGCGGCAAAAACGGCAAAAACACCAACTGCCAACGAGGCAACCAGCTTGCAACTGCAGATTCGATTTGAGCTTTGGCTTATTTATAAATCTGCAATTTCACCCTCCTGCTAAGTTTCGCATTCTTTGCAAGTTTCGCTTGGCAACCGACGAGTGCATCATTAAAACAAGTTTCCCGGGGATAAGTTCTTGGGTAACGACAACGAGTTACCTGGTATCTGTTTCACCAAAGTTCTGCACTAATTCAAAGTCGCTGGCCTTTAGGTTTTGGACGTTTTCATGAGAATAACCTAGGATATATCTTGAAAGTGTAAGCAAGATGCATTATGACTTACACATTCCCCATCAGCAAGTTGATATACAGGGTATAATTAGTCAGTTGGAAGAGTCAGTGAGCCTGGCAGAAAACAAAGCCGGCGAAAGACTTTTTAAACTGCAGCAGCCTGCGAGGCGTGTAATCAAAGGGGGGAATATGGCTAAAATATCTAATAGAAACGCACATGCGGCAACCCTTTTCGCAGTGAGTTTTCATCCAGGGGCCTGTGGCAGTGAATTATTTGCAATTCTGCGAGAATGAAGCTGACAGCGACCATGGGCGCCACATTGTCATCGGAATGATTAACAAGGCGGGCCACAAAGTTGCCAACTTGTAGCACAAAGGCGGTTGGTATGGGAGGAAAAAAAATGGGCATGACCCCAAAGCTCTTCACACACAAAAGCCCGTTGCGTGGAAAGTTCAAGCCGAACACTTGCCACAAACTCCGGCGGATTGACACGGCAACAATGTGGCAAGATGGTAGATGGTAGCCGTTGCCTCTCACGCACGGATATTCAGATCCCCAACCTAATATGCAGTTGACAAGTTTTAATGAAAAAAGGAGAAAAAATCCTACGTAGAGGAGATGGAACGACAGGATACTAGAAGTAGTTGAGAGGAAGATGTAGATTCAGCCGGCTCGATAAAAGATTATTAAAATTTTCCAAACGAATGGCAAAAGTTCACTGCAGCAGTTTGTCAAAGGTTCAAAAGGTTATCTGCAACACACACTCACACACGCAAGCCGAGAGTCTTACGCTCGGAAAAGCGGTGGAAACTCACTCACTTGACGGCCCCTCAGTTCACGTGTGCGCGGGTCTACAAAGTTGACAGACATTTTCCACAAGCAAAAGTCAAGCACCCATTCAGCACTCGACTCGCATGCGAATTTCGCATGCACAGAGGGGGTCAGGCAAATGGTTCCCCCATCAAATTGGGCGCATATCTTATAGTCCCATGCTATTCTATAAATTCGGTGATGTTTCTAACCCATTTATGGCACTATCCTGGTAACTACAAGGCGAGCTGGGGGTTACTAACCGGGTGACCACAACTGTAGGGGTTTAAAGTCGACGTTATCTCTGCGCAAGCAGTGCAAATTAAATTCTGGGCTCACTGGACAGCGGAGGTAGCACCATGAATGCCCGTACATGAAATATGAAAGTAATCTCCGCATATATTAAGGCATTTGACGGCTGCTTTAATATGCAGCCAGCTGGCAAAAGGAGGCATCTCCTAGCTCCTGGGCCCTTGATACTTTGCATTTTTGCTGAGGCAAACATAATTCGTCTATTATGCAGGCTGCCACAGAACAGGACGTACACACACAGCCACACACATCCAGTCACACACATGGGATATCAAATGGGGATAGGACATGGCTTGGTATGGGGTTTTTCAGGCGGAGTTCATAGATCCTGACTGCCGCTGTATTCACTTGGCAATTACTGCTTTATTTATTATGCCGAAATGGATTATCCCTTGCAGTGCCCGGGGATGCAATTTCTGCTTGTGCTGCTATTTTGTGCCGTCAACATTTTTTCTTTCTGCCCCACCATCCGTGCTGCAAATTTTCCGAAGCACTTGTGTCCTCGTCATCGTCGTCATCGTCGTCGCTCCCGATGGAAAATATTTGCATGGCAGAACTCTGTGGCAACAAGGCCTACGGCTGCATCTGCGTGCCCCACCATCCCATCGGGTATCTAATCCAGTGGCTGCAGCAGCGTTTAAAGGGTGAAATGCCCAGCATGGAAAGGTCCTGTGCACGCAATTGAATTAAGCAAAAATAATCCTTTGAAATGGCATTTAATGGGCGGGCTCTGAAGCCGTTTAAATGCAAATTCCTCGGAACGCATTGTTCGAACCGGACGTGGCTGGCCTGTGGCACACGGCGAAATTTGTAACAAATTCGATGCACACGAAATCCATAAATCAAATCAATAAAATGACAGCATGAAAAATTGCCAACACAAAAAAACCGCAGGCCAAACCATTATTTTGGAGTCAAAAAATCGACAGCAGAAAGGCAAAATGTCGCCAGTTTTGGCATTTTTGCCATTTTCCGAGCACGAACAATGCGGAGTCGAATGAAATCCGCAACCGCATTTTGAATGGCAATCAGCAGTTAGAAAAAAGCCAAGGCAACAATAATAATAGCAATAATAATAATAAAAGTACAATAGCGGGTGCGATATGCAATGCAAGCAAACCTTTTCGACACCTACAAATAAATAAATGGCCAAGTAAATATTGGAAACAGCGCCAGAACAAACAGCCAAATGCAGAAAACAAAAGGGCGGACTGAACTTGGTGAGCAAACAGGAAAAGGCTGTATAACACGAT